GCTTGTACTTTTTAAATTCAGTATAATTAAAATTATTGACAAATTAAAAAAGTCTTACAAAATTATTTTATATTATTTAATTACATAAATAATGATTAAAAAGCATTTTCGGTTTCTGTTTTTGGCCAAGTGCATCCAGAATTTTCATTTCGGTGCATCCCTAAAAAAATAACAATGTTTTAGTTAACTGTTATATGTATAATACTACCAGTGATTTAAATCATTATAAAATGGATCTAAAGTAGATCTCTTAAATCTACTGTGAAGCTCATATATATAACAGGCAAAATATGCACATTCGTTGAATTATAATAATAATAATAATAATAATAATAATAATTAAGTCCAGTGTGTTTAATATTATCAGATACGCCAATTATTTGCCAGAACAATTATTTATTGTGGTTATTATTATTACTTTTAATTAACCCTGTTATTTTAATCTGCTGCCACGATTTCATAGAATCAGTAAAGCACTGAAGGATGTCACAGCACTTCACATTATGCTCCTGAACTATGGTAAATTTACTTTAACATACAGCCTCTCTTGGCTTATTGCTTTAATAAGTCTTTCAATTCTTATTGGATGAGGCGCGTTCAAAACCAATATTTTAGCCCCCCCCCAAAAAAGCAGCTGAAAATTATTTTGATGTTAGGCTGATAACCAATAAATCACTGATATTAAAATTCTATACTACTATTCATGTATAAAAATACATACTGCAAGTGAATTTAGGCATTACATTATAACAAAGTATGAGAGACATGTTTCCATTTTAGAAATCTGCTAAAGATTAATAACTAATTTATTTTTATTTTAGTGATTTTAGTACAGCTGAAATTTCAGTTAGTTGCCATTTCTATTTTATTTATTTATTTTCCTAAGCTTTCCATCGAATATTTATATTGTCAGCTTTATTTTAATTAATGAAAACAAGTTTTAATAGTTTTGGGTAATAATAGCAACACTGCTCAATATTTATTAAATAAAAAATAGAATGAATATCAATTGATATAATGTGCATCACTAGGAATACCACTGTAATGGCTAGGTTCTTGTAACTAATTACTATATTAAATTGTTTCTAGATCAAAATGGTTCCAACTCATCACCAGCTGAACCTGTGATTGACAGTGTTAACGTACATATAGTGGCTCTGCAGCAGTTCACACCCCTTGGCGGAGTCTTCTACTTTGATGTTTTCCATCTTCTGCCCCAGTCTCGCATAGTGAAGGGCTGGGAAATGAGAGAGGTACATCATTGGACGTAATCTGGGACAGTCTGAAAGAGACCATAGAGAACAATGTGCGTTAATTGTCATTTACTGTTGTGCTTTATCATAGCTGTTAGAAAAGAGTCTCCAGGTCTTCCCCTATCCCACAGAGCAGACTCGCGTTCAGAGCTCTACCTCAGTGAGGCTGGATGAACACAGTAGCACTGTTGCCTCATTGCCTGTAGGGGTTACTGTAGCTCTGCCTGACTCAATATTGTTTCTGGAGGATGGCACATTGGGATCCGATCGGTGAACAATGGACACCACACATATGTAGCATCAGATTTTGTCTTGAATAAACAGTCTCTGCTCCCCGTTATATTCACATCTTAGTATCATGAATTACTTAATGATTATCAGTAATTTTGCACCATATGACATTTTACAACTTAGCTTTGCCTTGCCAAAAAGGGGATATTTTGTCCTTACATTTAAAATGATTTACCTTGATAGACAGCCTGAAGGGGTCCTCTCTCTGAAATTTCCGGTTACATTTTTTTCCTGCCTGTTTATGCATGTTCATTGCACCATGACTTTGATTTGGAGGTCAAAAACTTTTCAAATATTAGCAGTGAAAAAGTTAACATCACTGAATAGATGCACTCAAGTTATTGCATGTTTGAATTGCATTTTTAATATATTTTTGAATAAATTAATGGATCCAAAAACTGCATCCAGTCATTGAGCCATTTCATTTATCTAAGACCAACAGTTCAATACATACCGAAGGCTACAACAATAATTTTCTCCCTGTGTGCATCACCAGTACTGATCGATAGCTTTTTGTTTCTCAGGGTAAGCAATGTATGCTGCACATGGAGGAAACAAAGAACCTAGATCATCTTCTAGGGAAGTGGATGAGCCCCTCAGAACTGCAGAAGGCCATGCAGAGAGCTGGAATCAGTATATTTGTGAATGAGTATTCAGACAAGTACGTCAGCATCAACCCAAAGGTAACCAAGGGGCTGAATTGCCTTACACTCTTAAAAACATTTTCTGTATTGGCATCGATGGTTCCATGAAAAACATAATATGAAGTAGAGTAAAAGGTCTATTGCACAAAGGGGTCTTCAAAAGGTTCTTTAGATTATAAAAATGCTCCTAACACTAAGCAAAAAATGGTTCTTCTATGGCATTGATGTGGAACCCTTCTTTTGGAAGAGTTGAGTTCTTTCACTAATTCCTTTTTAATGGACCAGTCATAGAAACCCATGGCGTAGCAACTTTGAGCTTACCTAAATATATTTTTATCCATGTTTTTTCCATTTCTAGGACCCATCATCACCAGCTGAACCTGTGATTGACAGTGTTAACGTACATATAGTGGCTCTGCAGCAGTTCACACCCCTTGGCGGAGTCTTCTACTTTGATGTTTTCCATCTTCTGCCCCAGTCTCGCATAGTGAAGGGCTGGGAAATGAGAGAGGTACATCATTGGACGTAATCTGGGACAGTCTGAAAGAGACCATAGAGAACAATGTGCGTTAATTGTCATTTACTGTTGTGCTTTATCATAGCTGTTAGAAAAGAGTCTCCAGGTCTTCCCCTATCCCACAGAGCAGACTCGCGTTCAGAGCTCTACCTCAGTGAGGCTGGATGAACACAGTAGCACTGTTGCCTCATTGCCTGTAGGGGTTACTGTAGCTCTGCCTGACTCAATATTGTTTCTGGAGGATGGCACATTGGGATCCGATCGGTGAACAATGGACACCACACATATGTAGCATCAGATTTTGTCTTGAATAAACAGTCTCTGCTCCCCGTTATATTCACATCTTAGTATCATGAATTACTTAATGATTATCAGTAATTTTGCACCATATGACATTTTACAACTTAGCTTTGCCTTGCCAAAAAGGGGATATTTTGTCCTTACATTTAAAATGATTTACCTTGATAGACAGCCTGAAGGGGTCCTCTCTCTGAAATTTCCGGTTACATTTTTTTCCTGCCTGTTTATGCATGTTCATTGCACCATGACTTTGATTTGGAGGTCAAAAACTTTTCAAATATTAGCAGTGAAAAAGTTAACATCACTGAATAGATGCACTCAAGTTATTGCATGTTTGAATTGCATTTTTAATATATTTTTGAATAAATTAATGGATCCAAAAACTGCATCCAGTCATTGAGCCATTTCATTTATCTAAGACCAACAGTTCAATACATACCGAAGGCTACAACAATAATTTTCTCCCTGTGTGCATCACCAGTACTGATCGATAGCTTTTTGTTTCTCAGGGTAAGCAATGTATGCTGCACATGGAGGAAACAAAGAACCTAGATCATCTTCTAGGGAAGTGGATGAGCCCCTCAGAACTGCAGAAGGCCATGCAGAGAGCTGGAATCAGTATATTTGTGAATGAGTATTCAGACAAGTACGTCAGCATCAACCCAAAGGTAACCAAGGGGCTGAATTGCCTTACACTCTTAAAAACATTTTCTGTATTGGCATCGATGGTTCCATGAAAAACATAATATGAAGTAGAGTAAAAGGTCTATTGCACAAAGGGGTCTTCAAAAGGTTCTTTAGATTATAAAAATGCTCCTAACACTAAGCAAAAAATGGTTCTTCTATGGCATTGATGTGGAACCCTTCTTTTGGAAGAGTTGAGTTCTTTCACTAATTCCTTTTTAATGGACCAGTCATAGAAACCCATGGCGTAGCAACTTTGAGCTTACCTAAATATATTTTTATCCATGTTTTTTCCATTTCTAGGACCCATTAATAGAGCACACAGTGTATGAACAAATGGCTCTAATGTCCTCACCCGTGGCTTTTTCCTGGAGCCGCTGAAACACACAATGCGGACAAGAGCAGCTTGTTCTTCAGGTACGTCATACACTCTGACAGACTGACTGAAGTACTATTAAACTACTGTACAGATGTTCTTTGTAAGCAGGCAGCACTTTTGACCTTTAATGTTCTGTAGACATGTGAACAGTTGTGGCTGAGGAGGCATGGTCTCTTTACCTGCTGGGTGCTCAGAGGAACCAGCATCTGAAGATGAAGGAGCATGACGACAGCTTCTCTCCTGAGCTGACCGAGGGCCAAGCCAGAGTCTGTCAGTCTCACTATCTCTACACACAGTACAGAGGCTTCGGTGTGCAACACGTGTCCTCACATATTCCTGAGAAAAAAAAAGCATACACATCCAGAAAGACTACACACATACACACTAATATCTAAAACATCTGATACCTGTTTTGAATAATCATTGCAACATCTTGATATGCGGAGATATAATAACATCCTGTAAACTTCTTTATAGGCAGGTGGACTCAAATGATTATTTATAACATAAGCAATAAATATACAGTATATATACACACAGTAGATAGATTGAGATAGAGATAGACTCATTTCCTGTGTGGTGGTATCTAAATCTTTCATTGAAAAATTGTTCCTAAATGCAGAATATTACAGAAACTCGCAGGTGTACCTTATTCTAAAAAACTTTTAATAACAATCTTCATTTAATCATAAATTCTATTAATAATATATTATTTTGGGGGCTGAAATATGACCCAGGCATGTTTGGTGAGATTCTCCTCGATTTATAGATTGTTATACTTGTTGAATTACATGCCATTTGGAAATAATTCATTTACTTAATTTTATACCACCAGCTTTGGATAAACTAAAATAAGAACACACCCAAACGAGTATTAAACACCCAAACTGACTGAAGCTTTAAGATCAATTTAGCTTGGTTTGCACAGTAAATAATGAGATTAGTTGGATCAGTTTCTTTTATTGTGCAAAGTTTCTCTCCCCCCTCTTTGGAACATACAAAAGTATAGGAACTTTTTACAATGAACACCAAACCAACAGCTTTATGAGGATTAAAAACCATGTGTTTGTAACAATTAATAATATTGAAAAAAAACTCTACTGCATAAAACTGTAAAATAAGTTAACAAAAAGAAAAAATATATTTTTAAAAATGTTTCATCTTACTTTTTCAAACTGCCCATAAAAATACACTGATCAATTTCAAAATGTTTAAAAAGGCAGCCTTTTCGGGCAACCGATATATAATATTTGACATTCACATTGTTGCAGTCTGCTCATCTCACTCCTATCCAAATATCCTCCTTGTGACTTGCTGGCACTGACGGTCTCATAAAAGTGCTTATTACATACATGGCCAACACTACGGTTTGCGTACACAGCATCCAAGCAGTCTGCATTTTTCAGCACATCTCTCTCGAGACGGCCACTTTTCTTTTTACCTTCGGTAATAAATGGTCACAAAGTGTTCTTTTAGAAAGACAGGCGGCAGTGTTGCATCACAGTTCTTGTAGCCGGAGTTTTTTCTGAATGTCAGGACCAGCCACTGCAGCCTTGCCGAACCCCCTGGTGTCACACAGGGGGCTGGCCGTTGTGCCTCAGCCCAGTATAGGGCCACAGAAGCTGCTGGATGGTCATCCAGGAGTCTCCGGTGCCCACAGGTGCTGCATCTACTGCAGGCTGTAACATCAGGCTGGCCAACAGAGCCAGTAGAACAGCTAGAACTACAAGCAAGGCCACCCAAATCCAGATACCCCTGGTGCCTCTGGACACTGCAGGCCTCCCCTCCATCAGACTGGGTGGAGCGTGATCTGTTGGGCTGGGGCTGGGACTGGGATGGAGAATGAAAGAAACATTTAAAGAGGAAAGTACAACAGCATACCATCTTTTCTTATGCTAAATCAGGAAGGAGCAAGTAAAATGTTCATGTCATTGTAATGAGCACTTTATATATCCTTAGCCCAGAAACATACTCTGTCCAAGTAGGTAAACGCAACCGTGTGGTTTCATCGTACATATTTAGCATGAAATCAAGTTTACATAGCTAGAAGCACTGGCATACACATACTTGTGTAGAGTATGTTCTGGGCCCTATTTTCATTAGAAAACAGCAGGTCATTTAAAAAAATAAAATAAAAAAGGGAAAGACAGTCTGAATAGGTGAAACGGCTGAGGCGACCTGAAGAAAAAACATTGAACATTCAGAGCAATGTGAAAGATGACAGCTGTTGCTGAAAGCAATGTTTGACATAGTACATGATAAACAAGACAAACAAGAATGTTTCGATGTTTCAAGACAAACAGGAGTTCTGTAATAGACTGATATACATTGGTCAGACAGAGTAGTTGGCCAATACTTGACCATTTTGAGGTCTGCCAATAACAGAAGCAGCCATTCTGCCAATTTAATTGCCTTTAATTTTTTTAATTATATACACACACACACACCACCATTCAAAAGCTTGGAGTCTGTAAGATTTTTGTTTTGTTTTTGAAAGAATTATGCTCGCCAAGGCTACATGTATTTGATTTTAAAAAACTGTAAATACAGTATTATTATACAATATTATTACAACTTAAAATAACAATTTTCTATTTTAATACATTTTAAAATGTAATTTATTCCTGTGATGGCAAAGCTGGATTTTCAGTTTTCGGTGTTACAAAATCCTCTAGAAACCATTCTAATATGCTGATTTGATGCTCATCAAACTTTTCTTATAATCAATATTAAAAACTGCTTAATATTTTTGTGGAAACCTTGAAACATTTTTTCTGCATTCTTTAAATAAAAAGTTCAAAAGAACATTTTAAATAACATTCTAAATGTTTTACTGTCATTTTTGCTTAGCTTGACTCCAAACTTTTGAACATATATCTCCACATATCTCCATCCTGCTCTCTATTTATCGGTCTACCACTTATCCTGTTTAAGAAAATACCAGAGAGAACATCAGCACAGCACACAACTCTGGGATCAGAGTACATTGCCAAATGCCCACAACTGTCCACCAATGTGGGGGAAAAACAGATTTAAGAACTTTGTCTTCTCTCTGAAACCACAGATGGGCTGCTCATTTGCTGTAAACCGAAGCAGAAGACATGCAGTGTGTCAGCACTGGTTTCATTTTTCTGCTGAAGAGAAAGCAAAGCTGATGAACTTTGTGGGTGTCCATATTTAAAGTTAGATTTTCTTAGCTTAGCTGCAGGAGCAAAAGGCAGTGACATTTTTGACAGAAAACCCTCGATTTGTAGTAGATAATGCCTGAATGCTGTAGCAGAGAATAATGGAGGCGGGAGGTACACTAACGTTTTATTTGGCATTAAGAAGGAGGTGATTTTGATGCCTAGTTCTGTTATGCTAGTCCTTCTTTCCTCTGGTTCCTCTTTCCGCTCCTTCTCTGAGTGAGAGTCTGTGTCATATCCATACCTGTGCAAAGTTCACAGTGCACTGAGTGTCCACCATCTTGGCTCAAAGGCTTTACTGTGGCTCTGCATGGCATGACCTTTTGATGGCACATGAGCTTTATGGTTTTGACATGAAATCTGTGCGAAAGACGAAAGGTGCACAACAGATCTTCACAACGTGACCTTACCTATTCATCAGAGTGGGCTCATCTATGTCAGCCCAAGTACCAGAGCTAATGAAGCGCTTTAGTGGTGGCCTCTTGGCTGCCATGTTCCTGTAAAGCGGTCGACACACAACCATGACATCCTTTCTCTCGTGCAAAGATGTGCACACAGTATTATAAAACCAACTGGCATACGACTCCAATAAAGAATGGCGCTAACAATGCCAAAGTCATGAGTTCCATTTCCAGAGATCCTACTGATAGGTGTATAATTTGAAATTGTTTGAATAAAAGTATCAGCCTAATGAATAAATCTTGTTCTGATAAGTTTTGGGTCTCACTAACCCATTTTTTGGTGGACTAATACTGACAGGCAGGGCTCCGGTCGTGTTTTATGGACCATGCAATCTCAAAACAGCATCAGAACACTTACCATGGTGATCGGCGGGAGAGTCTCTCTACCTCAGTTTCTGCCATGTCTTTGGGCTGTGAATTAGAAATCAGAGTTTATTCAGATGTTCCACTTCTTTTCTACCAAAAGCATTAAGAAGAAACTGGACTTCTCACAATGTCAAAATGGGTCTGTCCTCCACTGCTGCGGGGAATGGTAGCTATACTGATGCGTCGGCTAGTGGTCTAAGGACAGAACACAAAAATCTGTAAAAATTAACTCAGCAAGCTGAATTCACAATCTTGGAAGTGGTGTGTTTTGTGCCTTAACTCACTTTGAAAATGTTTGCGGTTGACTGCTTCTTGTTTCTAAAATCATCTGCAATCACAAAAGAAAACCCATGTGGATAGACAAAAGAGAGACTGGTATTACCACTTTTTTTTTTTTTTTTACAAGTTTACCAAGAATAATAATCAACTTACCCCTCTCAGTGTGGGACCCAAAAGACCTCTCATTCGGCGTGAAGTTCTCCCTGAGCTCTAACAGCTCTGCGTGCTCTTTGGTGTACATCCTCCTCAAGTTCTCTACATGTTGAATCATCACCTCCACCGTTTTACCCACTCTGGTCTCCTACACATGCAAGGAAATTGAGGTGCAAACAAGCAGGCATCTTTGTTAACTTTGGCATTAGAGGGCTATTTTAGCACTCTGAATGGCCTGAGTAAACACACAAACCTGATGAATGGCCCCGAGCATCTCTGAACGGCTGGACACTCTGGTCATGGATTGGATGAGGACTTCCAGGTTCTTCTGCAGACGATGGATCATCTCCATGGACTGGTTATCTTCCTCACACCGTGGAATCAGGGCCTATATAACAAAACAGTGTTATGTTCAAGCTACTTGCTCAAACAGGAATTCAGGTCAAATTTTGGAAGAAATTTTCTGTAAGAATTTTCTGAAATATAAATATTAAAAAAACATTGTCCAGAGCAAAGTACTACTTGCTTGCATTGACAATACATGATCATGTATTTTTTGATTGTATACCAGCAACAAGTGCACAAAATGACACAGACCTGCAGCAGACCTTTACAACTGTTCACTTCCTTCCGGACGTTCTCCTCAGCCAGGTCTCGTGAACGCTCCTCCAGGCGTAGCCTCTTCTCCAGGGTGAACATGTCACATTTGAATCCCAGAGAGAGCCGGTGGAACTCCGCCTGGCAGGAAGATCACATGGTAAACACTCTAGAAACATCACTGACAAAACATATTTCAGGTTATTCACTAGTTCAGAATCTAATTCAGGTCTGTATGAAACATCTTTATACCATAATAACTATTCTGTATAATTTTTTGTAATTTACTAATTATGAAAACGTAGGTGTTCAGATTTTGTGTGGATTTATTTATGAGCTACCAGTGTAACTTAAGATACAAACACCAGCCATTTCAATTGAAGACAATCAACTATTATTATTATTATTATATGTGTAGCAGTCTGCATATTCTTCTGCAATTTTTCTAAGGTATTATACTTTTTAGTATATATATATATATATATATATATATATATATAGTGACCGTGATTTCACCAAGTACAACATGTTCCTGGATCAACATCCTTGTTGATCCTGGAACAACATTCCAATTAACCAATCAGAATTGAGGGATAACTTTACAGGAAAGGTCTATTTTAGGCTTACAATCAGGGTTCGGTGCTTCTACACCCTTGTTAATCAGCTACCATTTCACACAGATTTTAGGAATACATTATGATATTGAAATAAATGAACTTTTCCACGACATTCTAATTTATTGAGATGCACCTGTATATGTATGTATGCTTTTCACATTTTAAAATATAGTTAACCATACATACACTATGTTGAAATGGGACTGAATGAAAAAAACAAAAAACACCTCACCTCTATCTCTTTGTCACTTGGTGACAGGCTGCAGATGAAAAGCACATTTCAGATTAATGGGAATATGAATATGTCAAGTGAGTCATGTGAAGACATGCTTGAATCAGATTAAAATTTATGGATATAAATTCAGTACACAAAGCATTATAACCTGTTCTTGTCATCTTTGGTGGAATCGCTGGCATTTTCAGAGATGACAGATGTGTCACCTGAGGGAGGTAGAGGAGACTGACATTGATGGGAAACAAGCAGAAATAGATGAGAAAGAGGCAGACAGGGAGAGAGAGAGATCATTTATCTACCTTCTTTTTCTGTGGCCACTGAAGGCTCGCCATCCTCCTGAGCTTTTTGCTCCTCAATGGCTTCCATACTGCTCATTTCCTGTAAGAGGACCATTTCATTTTAAATGTACAACCCAGGCATGTCAAGTTCAGCATATAGTTCACACTGGGCATTAGACGGCATGTTACATTTATTAATAAGAACACAATCACGTGTAATTAAAATGAAAATACTTGGCAAAGCAGGTAGGACCAGATTCTCCAGGCTTTTGTTGTATTTTGCTTAGTTCATAGATTCTAGTGAGAATGGCTCTTACCTTCTTGAGCTTGTTCCTCAGAGTCAGAGGGTCTTTTTTGGAGCCTTGCACAGCAGAGATTGTTGGAAGATTACCCTCACTGACTGTGGGGTCAAAGGTCATGTCCTTCGCTTTTTCAGAAGGATCCTTCAATGAGTCAGCTGAGGCTGCGGAGTTTGAATCAGATGTGACCACTGTCCTTTTGCTGTCTGATTTGTCTTTGTCTAAAAAGAAAAATAAAGAAAGAAAAGACACTTAAATAGCAGCTCTGATCCGAAACCTAGTGAGCAGACAAGGTGAGAGTAATGTTAATGTAGACTTTCATAATTCACACTCAATTTCAAAACCATAGCAAAAGCCAAATTGCTATTGAACATATTTAAAAAGCAAAACATGAATATAAATATTAACAAATTAAATTAGAATGGCATGCAGCCTTCAAGCGTTTGTCAATTTTTGAACACATCGCTTTAAGTTTTCTTATGTAAATATTCAAGTAATCAGTCAGTAATGAAAACAAATAAATTAATAACAGTTCCTGATTCTCTCTTTTTCTTGTCAATAATGTTCACAGATTAATTTTAACGTAAAAATAGACATTGGCAAATCTGTTTCCATTAATCAACTTCATTTTGACCAAGAAGTGTATTCAATTGCTGCAAAAGCAGTCGTCAGAAGCAGTACATTTGACATCCCTATTTCAAAGGTCAACAGGTAACATCCACAGGTGTATTTCCTCCTACCTGGTGAGTTCACACCAGTTGATATCACATCCGCCTCCTCTAGCATGGCCTCCTCTTCCTCTGCTACTGGCAGCAAGAGACTCCTAAACAAATAATTAACAATAAATGTACAGCAACTCTTTAAGATACACACATTACAACACTAACATACTCAGTCCAGCAGCTAATGTGTAATAAATATATTCAAATAATCAGTTGCACAAACAGGAAAAATACTCACTTGTCCGATTTTGCAGACACTTTAGAAAGCTGTCCCTCACTCAGTCTCTATAGGTGACAACAGAATGGCATTATGACCCAGTGAGACACTCTGAACAGCAACGCAAATACATTTGTGTAAACTACCATCATATGCAAATAAACATTACACATGCATGCATTTCCATACCTGTCCCATGACATGGCAGATGAAATATAAGAGCTATACTCTGCTTTACAGAGAGAGAGAAGTGCTAGATACTTACATAATGTGTGTGAGAGCTCTACAGCTGGCAGAGAGAGAGAAGATGGTAAAGACAGGAAGAGAGAGAGAGGGAGTGACAGAAAGAGAGGGGGAGGGCTGGAGGGGGAGAGTACTTGTACTGGCAGAGTTCATTGAAGTGGGAGTGAAAAAATGCTATACTTATTCCAAACATACTGATGAAAAACCACACACACAGCCTGAGCAACATATTTTATCAAGTTAAAAACCACAAGGAATATAACAATTAAACAACCAACTAATAACACCAAAAAAACAGTTGCAGGTCTGTTCCGATTGAGTCACAGTCACCAGGGAAGAAACAAATGCATGATTAATTGGTTAGTTACACTAAGCCAAGTTATAGATAGCAAAATAAATAGGCTTATGAAAAGCTTCCCATATTTTCTGTTGACATCAAAGGCTAAGAGCCCAATCTGTCATTTGGTAGAAGCTAGCCAAATTAGGCAGATAGCAACATTTATTGCACTTGATGTCCAATACAAAATATGGGCACTAAAGCAAAACCTGTTTAAGAAACCAGTTAATGGTTGTTAAGATTTTTCATGTTTTTGAAACAAGTCTCTTTTAACGCTCACCAAGGCTGCATTTATTTGATCAAAAATAAAGCAAAAACAGCAATATCATGAAATATCACAATTAAAAAAAATGTTTCTACTTGAACATTTTAAAATGTATTTATTCATGTGATGGCACAGCTGACTTTTCAGCAGCCATTATTCCAGTCTTCAGTGTTACATAATCCTTCAGAAATCATTTTAATACGCTGATTTGGTGTTCAGAACATATTTCCTATTATTATTATCAATGTTGAAAACAGTTGTGCTTCTCAATATTTAATATTAAAGGGGTCATATGATGCGATTTTAATTTTTCCTTTCTCTTTGGAGTGTTACAAGCTCTTGGTGCATAAAGAAGATCTGTAAAGTTGCAAAGACTAAAGTCTCAAATCCAAAGAGATATTCTTTATAAAAC